TGAGCAACCCACCGACTGTTTGTTGGCTCTCCTTCTGTGAGGTCTCCTCCTGCCCCAATTGCCGGTGCAATCATCCCACCTTTTGGCTGTCGGCAGTCCTGGCGTTGGTTTCCGAACAAATTCAGCATTCTGGGCGAGCATCCATTTCTAACCCAGCCAGGGCGCTGACACTCTCTGTATGAAGCCAGAGACATTCCTGTCTACAGCGGTAGCACGACTGAGCCCTGTGCGCGCTGAAAAGGAATGAATACTTCATAATGACACCTCTCTTCACGTTTCCCTTAGAAACTTTTAGTGGAGCAGGGCGTGGAAAACGTTATACATCCTTCCTCTCCTCCCGAAATCTTTCACAGCTTCCACAGCCACAAAGCAAACTGAGGGGGTGAAAGGCTGATCTGTAGATAATGTCATAAATGTTTGTTCTCGCTGCTTAAAACCTGCTAGGAAAGTGCATTGCTGTGATACCCAAAAGTGCCTGAACAAGTTAATCTATTGCATACTCAGTTTGTTAATTAGAATGAACGTCTTTCCGCTAGCTGAAAATTAATTACCATCTTAAAATGTCATTAATTATCAGCACAGCAGAAACTTGGTTGTAAATTTGGACTGAGCTAATAATAACACACAGAGGGGACCTATGGTTTTTATAACTGGTGGGAGTGAAGTGCAAGTGGGCTGCGATGTGTTTTCCAATGATACTATCAACAATCATTGGAATAACTCAGCAAACATTTAAAAAGGGAGGGCTGTATTACTGCACTGTCAGCAAAGCTGCAACTCATGCCTGGAGATCTGGAGGGGCTGGTCAGGTGTTGCAGTAAACTATGGCTCTCCACACACCAGACTGCAACAGCAGGGGGGTCTGTGGCAGTATGTGAATCTGAAGCACTTACAAAGATTTCCTGAAAAATGTCCAAAAAACAAAGCTTTGGGAATCATATGGTTTACACATCCTAAATTTATATCTGTGGTTGTTGGGAGAAGACAAAACTGTAGATTGAGTGATTAAAAAAAAATAAATCTATAATCTGTTCTTAGAGACATAGCTCTGACCTGAAAATGAAAGCCATGTCCTTTTAAAAGTGATATGGTAAAACTATACATCCCAGTAGGTGGCAGCTAGCTGGAAGTGGATTAACTTTTATTATGATAACAGCACATGAAAATACGATCTGAAGGAAAAAAGTGCCTGATGTAATAAGGTAATCAAAATCACATCTCTCCTTTCCGAATGAAGCATTAGGCACATAAGATCACCATTTATACCTGACACATACTGAAGAATTTAGTAGGCTTTTATCACTCAGAGAAGATGTAAAGGCCTTAAATGATCTATTCTCCTTCCCCTCCTGTAGCTGAAATACTATTTTTCATACCACCTTCACTTGGACATTGTCCTTGTGTATTAAAAATGTATTACTACCATGTCTAGTATAGATGTCTAAAATGTAAAACAAATTAAAACGTATAACCAAGGAATTGTGGATTTCCCATTTGCTGATCACTGAAGCAAAGAGGACAGTTTCATAAAGACTTTAATCTGAGAAGCACTGCGTAACAGTGGTGACAAGCCCCCAAGAGACAAGACAAGCTTCTCCAGCTGAATATTTTATTAGGGATCTCCAACCGTTGAATTGTATGTCTTATAAGGAAGGAAATATGAAAGTACTTAAGAACACTTTACTATGTCCATGTTGAAATCATTCTGGAGGGTGGACAAAAGGATCGTTGTAAAAGTTACTGTTTCTTCCTCCTCCCTCTATGAAGATGAAATGAACCTAAAGTCCAATTTACAGAAAAGGAGTCTAGAGTGGTGTATTCTAATGGTTCATTTAACTGCATAGACTGTAAATAGTCTTCAGACCCCAAATATTCCTTGAGTGCTAAACATCTTATATCTTGCCAGATTTACTTTTTAATAAGGAAGTAATTTTCTTGAGAAGGCAGTACTGGATTAACCACGATCTCCCTTCAAAGTGGGAGTTGAGACTTGAGAGAAGGGAGAGGGTGTTGATGCCGAACATTAGGCAACATGTGATGGCAGATAAGAAGAGCAATACTCCTGAACCCATAAAATGTCATAAAATAGCGAGCCAGCTAGCATAAACGAGTGTATAAGATGTGTCTCTAAAGAAGCCGATAACATATTTTAATTTCCTTTCCGTGTCGTGAAAGGATTGGAGGGAAAAAAGGCTCTCGGGCACCGGTAGGTCTCGCCGCGTAGGCGACGCGGAGGGGCGCGGGCCGGGAGCGCTCTCCGCGGTGCTGAAAGTCGGGGAGCCGGCCGCGCCGGGCGCTGTCCGTGGTGCTGGGGCTGCTCCCGTCGGCAGAGGGAGGTCAGCAAGGAAACCCCCTCAGTCCCACGCGTGCGGCCGAGGGTGTGATGAGGCTGCTGAGCATTTAATAATAAAAGCAATGAATCCTAAGGTGTTTTATGATTCTGGATATTCTATAAATGCCTCGGTGATTTAGGATTTCTGTTGGACTTGATTACAGCTTTTTTTTTTTTTTTTTTTTTTTTTATTTTTTTTTTTTTAGTAAGATTCATTAAAGGTGTCGCTTTGTCCCGGGTTTGTCTTGTCTATTGAAGCTGTTAAGGAATCTTATGATTTCATAAACGCTTACCAAAATTAAGCTAAATTAAAAAAAAAAAAATCACTTTGTCAGGAAGCTACCTACAAGCAGTCAGAATTAAAAAGATGCCTAATGTCCTCTATTTCAGTAACATTATAGGAAAGATGAGGAAGGAAAGAAATGCTCACAGTGTTCAACAATGTGAGTTTTATTTCTTCTTCAACTAAGATAAAAGATGAAAAAGTAGAAGAGGGAAAAAATGGGATATAGCAAATACAAGAAAGAGCATCTCTATGTGCATTTTTTTCTCGGAGATATTCTAAGTGTGAACTGAAGGAGTCGCTAGATATCCTTGCTTTTAACACTAGGTGCTCTTTTTAAAGTGCTCCAGTAGTCAAACCGTCTGATTGAATTCCCTGCTAGACTGCAGAACTAGCCATTCATGATACTTATTTCTGACACTGCAGTTATGCCTCCATCTTAAAAAGAAAAAAAAAATCAATGATGTTTAATAATCCCTTCACAGAACGTACATTTATTTTCATCAGCATTTTACAGCTTTTTAAGTAAAAGCATGCTGAGGAAACCAAAAGCCATAATGATAAGAAAGTTACTGCAAATTGCAAACACTTTCGGAGATACAAAATACCAACATTACAAGTAATAATTTAAGTTTGCTGTCACTTATTTACATGTCCATGATATAGAGGTATCATTTAAAAACAAACTGGAACTCACCTTTACCATGTTCTCCTTCTGATAGATTTCTTAGGCTATTCTAATTTTCTTGGCATCACCAGCATTTAATTCTGTAGAGTCACATTTTTTTTTGTATCCATCTGTATGTATGTGTGGGGGAAGTCTCTCAGTGATATTTTCTCTGGTAATAAAAGTCAGGGAGGAAGATAAAGGAGGCAGAAGATATCTACAGGCAGAATATAGAATGGAATGAGTTCGTTTTCCTTGTGAGGAATCTAGGAATGGTATTTTAATATTTTTAATAATGCTTAAGTATACTCAGCAAAAGCTTCTCTTACACTGTGAAGTCTGACAGTCCAAGTTATTTTCATGATTACACTCACACAACTAATTGTATTTCAGAAAAAAGTCTCAACTATTCTAGAGAGTGAGTTCTTTGGAACATCTAGCCATAAGACAAAAGTCTGTGGCTGCGGTTGCAGATACAAACTCAGTACACCACTATCAAACTAGGCAGTGCTATTGTTCCCATTGAGAACTGCAAACTGACAAACTACATGCATCTTTCAGTACAAGAAGGAACAGCAATACCTGTGAAAGGAATGCTGTGCTTGAAAAAAAAAAAAAAAAAAAAAAAAGATAGTGACAAAATAGAATGCAAAATATAAATCTGTAAATCCACAAGTTACTGTTTAGAGCAAAGCTGAAATACAAGTCTATGCATTCAACAAGGCAGCTCTAGCACTGCAGGTTCCTGTTTACCTTGCAAAAGCAGGCTGGTACTATGTTACCACTGGATCCGGGGAAAGTTCCTAAGAAAGTGCAGTAGGCAAACTATCACACTTTCCCTTTTTCATGCATTAATGTGAGTAGCAGTCAGTAAATGTAAATATCATTATCTTTTTTTAGCCTTAACGTTACTTTGACAACATGCATGATTTTATCGTCAGCATTCTCTTTCACAGCTCTGAAGCTAAGTGATTTCGAGCCAGCCAGTCAGCTATTAAAATGCATGAATTGATTTTTATGAAACAGATTCCCTTCTCTCCTATAGCCCTTTCCTCCACCCCCGCCCCCGGCACAGACACTTACAGCTATTGTTCAGAACAACTGAAAGTCTAATAACAATTAGAAAGCTGTAAATAAAACCGAGCTGTTTTTTTTCCTCCGACAACGCAAGGCGATCAGATCTGTTGCATAATAGAAATCAGGAAGGCTGTCTGGCAGGCAGCCTTAAGAAGAGAGGAGCTATCTCAGTTTCTCTCACTTAATCTTGGCTTCGCGTCAGAAGCTGTGTAGCAGTGCAGTAGAATGGGAGCACGGCAAAAGCTTCGCCAGTGAAACGGCTGGTGCTCATTGACTCTCGCTATGTGGTGATACCTCAGCGATTTCTCGAGCTGGATTACCTATTGATTTTCCTCCTTTCTTGCCTCCCAGGTTTACTCGGCTGGACGTTGTGTGTGTTTGGATTTCTCAAGGATTCTCCCCCGATTAACATGGATGTCCCACCATTCCTTGCAGTTGAAGGTTGCTCCTTGGCGCAGTGAATGAAGAACATGCAGGGATTGCTAATGGGTTTGGGAAGCGTAGACTCTCTCTTCTCTCTGTGACCATGCCGTGATCGTGTCTGAGGGCCATCAGTTTACTTATTCTCATTCTCACCTTGCCGAGAAACCTGACGGCTTAGAAGGGGGAAGTAAGGCTGTGCGTGTGTGTATAGAAACATCATGAAGATTATTTCCCCTATTCTAACTAATCCAGTCTTCAGATGCACCATTAGACTCCTTCTTTGCTTACTGTGGATTGGATATTCTCAAGGAACCACACATGTATTAAGATTTGGTAAGATTTCTCGACACTTTTTCATTGTGCGTTTCAGCCCGAATGCGATTTACGTAGGATTGACTCCTAAGGGGGTGTTGGGGGACAGCTAGGATGTGCTATCGGAGTCGGGCACCGAAGTCTCTGTGTATTTTGCATCCGGAGGCATGAATTGCTGTGTGTTTTTTTCTGACGCTGCAGCTCTTTGTAGCCGTAGTAACCGCACGATGATGATAATTATAATAACAATGGAGAGAAAAATGACTGGCAAACGCTTTTGCCTAAGAGGCTGCGGAGCTTGCGTGGCTCCCTCATAATGTACCTTATTTTGTTTCCATAGTAGTGGAAAGCAGAGTGCTTCATCAGTTAAAACCTGTCAAGTAGTTGTTAAGTTTCGGCCGCCCGCCTCTGCTCCATCTGAGCGGATGTCGCACGGGCGCGACGCTGTAATCCTCGCTCGGGGCTGGCTTCCCGCTCGCTTGCCTCTTCTCTGGCGTTTAGGGTTAGTGATGGTTTGTTCCTTGTTCCACGCTTGTGAAAGAATCATTACGTTACGCTATAAAAACAAGGCTCTTCTATGTGAGAAAAGTTGCATGAGTTCCAACACCTCCCCCCTCAACGAAAAGAGAGAACAAAAATCATAGATCAGAATGAGATTTCCAAGAAAGCTGAGAGTTTAAAGTCTGTCCCGTCTGGACCGTGAAACTAACCTCAGCAGCACTGACCGTGAGCGCATTTGTGTATAAGTGCATAAGAAAACAAGCGAGGGAGACGTTCCGGCCACCATGCCTGCTCTGTCAAAGTTTTGCAGTAGGCAGGGACAGGGCGGAAGGGAAAGTGAACCTCACTTCCTAGCCGAGATGTGCGGGCCGGGAGGGCTGCGGTCCCGGAGGAGTGGGCGAAACGTGGAGGGAGTGGGCAACCCGAAAGTGGCTCCCCCGGGCTGGCGGCAGCCTCGGTGCCTCTCACCCTTGCACCGACCGCTGGGAGCTGCAGCAGCCTCTGCATCTCTTTCCGTGGGGCACTGAAAACTCTCGTCTTCTCCCGG